TCACTATTAGACCAACTGAAAGTGCCACGCCCAAACTGCTGTTCTCATTAGAACCAAAACAATTTAGCACGAATGCTTGGAGGTATTGGCGTGTCACACTGTGCTCTTTAGTCTTACAGGAGAAGAATGTCCATCATTATCACTGAATACTATTCAAGCAATTGCATTCACTGTCTATCAACTGCTTCTGTTGTTCCTTTCTATGACTAAGGTCTATACGTTATAAGTCTCTTACTTGAAGCACTCTATTTGCTGTGTGGTCTCTTCATTTAAAAATAAAAGCGTAGCCTAAGTGAAATATTAGTAAGAAACAGTTTTCTAATATTAGTAAGAATAGTTTTCTGAAAAGAAGGTACTGTAAGAGCTCCTCTAACACCAGGGGAAATGATGTCCTACAAACAGGCACCTGTGCTGTGTCATGCACAGTTATGAACATAAGGTTCTTCAATTCACCTACATGTGCTCTTGCTTCATGCATTACCATCTTCATAGATGTTGAAGGTGTTCAGGGACCTCGCAAAATATCTAATGATCTAAATATCTTCTGTTTGTCTACCTGGCTTCCACCATTCTCTACCTGCTTCAACATAGAAGCTCTTCCATAAGAGCGACTGGTTTATATATACTTTTGTATAAGACACTGATAGAGAACCCAAGACAGAAATCTATCTGCAGAATGAGCCAACTTATTTTTGTCATCTGAAGGTCAAACTTTATCAAGGCCAAGTCCCAAATGCCAACTCTACCAGGCCCAGCTACTGCTAAGTCAAGTACCCTGCTAAACAGAGCTTTGGCGGAGAAGATTTTTCGTTTATGATTCCGGAGTTTCTCCAAAGCAAAACTTTTCTAAAATAAAGCTTCTCTTGAGTTCACAAGTGAAGCAAGTACAAGCTATCAGGGAGACAAATGTGACCTACCAGTTGACTGCAATGGGTGGCTGCCCAACTATAAACTTATCACAAACCTTAAAGTGGGTTGAAATATAAATTATTCCTCAGTAAAGCTACTGAAAAAAACAAGTCTGAAAATGAGTCAGATAGGTAAGCTATCTGTAAATAGCAGATTTGAGACTACAAAGATACTTTTGACTATCCCATGCTCCGGTAAGCCCAATTCCTATGTTAAACATTAGCCACACTTCACCTAAAATGTCAAAAGTTCTCCCTGCAACACTGATAAAAATATCTTAAGAGACTAATACAAATATCTGTATAGAACTAAACATTACAGGTACAGCAAAAATAGGAATTCTAGTGTGGTTATCTGTGTGGATACAAACATACGTTTCTGTACAGCTAAGCATGGTTTTATATCAAAGCTTGCTGTTAATTAGACAGTGGGTTCCGAGCAAGCATCTCTAAGATTCTCTTCCCACCTGTAACATGTAACTCTGTGCAGTAAGGTTAAGTAGCGGTTAAATAGCATGAAAAGTGACAGGTTTAAGGGTCTGGCTCCAGAGCTGGAGAGATGGCTTAGAGGTTAAGAGCACTGGCTGTTCTTCCAAAGGTCCTGAGGTCAATCCTCAGCAACTATGTGGAACCATCTATAATGAGATATGGTGTCCTCTTCTGGCCCACAGGCACACGTGCAGGCAGGATATTATATAAATAGTAAGTAAAGAAATCTTTAAGAAAAATATTTTAAAATAAAAGTGGTCTGGCTCCACGGTATAGCTTAGTGACGAAGTGTATGCAGAGCACTGAGGAAGAAAAAAATTAAAGATAGAAACTACAACTTAACACACAAACACTAAAACATCAGACTGTATTTGTTTGTTTTCTGTTTTGTTTGGTTTGTTTTTTTGTTTTTTTCCAAATGATGAAATGAAACGCACTTGGTTCTTAAGTTCAACCAAGGTCACACGTCAGCAGTAGCAGATCCACAATTCCAGTCTGGGGGTACCCTGCTCTAAATGCTGATTCTTTGCTCTTCATTAGGTCTTAGCTTCTAGTTCTCTCATATACGAGCATGAGTCCTCACCTCGACTTTAGAACATTAACTACTTTCCCTGAGTCCCAGCCTCCTCAGCCATTAAAGCAGATCACTAGAAGTTAATTCTCTGGGCTATTATGAAAATTAGAGAGTGTATCTCCTACATTAAGAAAATATTCAATAAATAGCTCATCCTTCTCCCACAGAAGCTCCTTCCTGTGAGAAGAGAAACAACAACAAACTATGAATTTTATTATTTCCTTACACCCTACCTGGAAAACCCCTTCGGGAACTGGGGTCTATCAAAAAGCATTTGAAGTAAACACTAACAACACGGCATTACTCTTTTGCCATAGGCCTTTGGCTCTGTTGCTGAGACTGTCAACAAGAGTGTCAACTTCAAGGGGTGGGCATCTGTCCACAGGAACTGAGCTGAGGTCACAGACTTGTCTAGCTCTGTCCTACGAACAGATGTCTTTGTGACAACTCTTAGTCACAGCTAGAGCCAGGCCAGGTGGGAAGTGCTGTGGCTCCGTCCTAGTCCTTGGCTGGCCCGCTCATTCCCTAGGACAATATCTCACTGACCATATTTCGAAACAGTTTTCTCCAGGATACAGTGTCTTTGTTTTTTGTCATGCCTGGTTATTAGGCAAGCAGAGGGAGGCGTTTCCAGAACAGTGATGATTTGGGGCCATGCACTCTTGGAAGGTACACCTTCCAAGAGTCACTGCTGAGGAGGCAGGTAAAAATTGATGTAATGTGGGGCTCTAGTGGTGATGAGGAGGTAAGGCAGCTATTACTGAGGGCCAACTTAAAAAAGAAAAAAGAAAAAAGGCAAGTAAATCCCATATAAATCGTCATGTTATGATGAAAAACAGTTGGAAGTGTAATCTCCCAAGATAACATAAGGCCAGCTCTAAATGTATTAGCTTTCTTTCACATCAAGTGATAATTAGGTTACATTAAACATCATGAGCTGTGATGTCATCACAGATAAAAGAATTCAGAGCAGCAGAGGATACTTTTCAACTTTTTACCAAATTCAGTAAGAATCCAGTAAATTAAACAGGAACCACTTTACATACGGCTAGCAAAAACATTACATACCAAAAAGCACTGGGCTCTAAGGGGTGTGGTCAGTGAATCTCAGTACCAGGTGTCTTCAGAATTTAAATAATCCCAAGCAGCGGTGAGGTGATTATGTGTTTAATCCTCTGCTGGAAATGTGACTTCCTTAAATATCTGACTCCTGAGGTCTGTCCCAACTTAAAACAACTATGAATGAAAGCCACATTTTCAGATGTTAACTCCTTCATGATTTTCCTTTTAACGTCAGAGGTAACTTAAAATTTCAAATAGTCACATATTATTATGTATGTATATATTTCCCCATTTCCCCTGTGTGTCGGGGGTTAAAACCTAAACCTCACACATACTAGGCTAGTGTTCTAAAACTGAGCTACATCAAGAGCTCCACACATTCTTTTTTAAAGACTGAATCTTACTAAGCTGTAGCCCAGGCAGGCACTGAGCTTAACCTTCTGTCTAGCTGGGATAAGAGGTTTGTATCAACATTTCAGCAGTATCTTCTCAGTCAAAATGCCTTTGTTTGAAAAAAAAAAAAAACAAAACATAGTTCCAGAATGGTGAGCAATGTAATTGGATATATAACTGTGCTACAGGGCCATCGAGCTGGTTCAGTGGGTAAAGGTGGGGTCCACTTGGGGGACCTACAAAGATAACTCCTTCAGGTTTTCTCTGATTTCCATACAAGTGCTATCGTACAAACTCACACACTCACACACACTCACACACACACACACACACACACACACACACACACACAATTTCTTTAAAAAGAAGTTTTTAAAATGTGTATGCTATACAATCTGGTGTTCATATTTTAAACTGATGTGTAAGGCAGCAGCTGGGTTAGCTGTGTCAAAAAAATAATTCAGGATATCAAGAAAATACAGGAACTAGCCTTTCCATACACAGTCAGGTACCACTTAACAGGGAGGAGCGTGTTGTTAGACAGTTTCATAAGCTGCATTTACACGAACTGAAAGGCTATAGTATCAATAGATGATGTAATCTTCTGAGATTATCCTACAGGACGTGATCCGTTGTTAACCAAATAGTGATGCAGCACCTATCTATATAAACAGCTAGGTATCATATTCTTGAACATTAAATAAAATGTAAAAGAATCACCTTACATGCCCGGTAAAATGTTCATAAATGCGTTACAGTGTTTATCTGAAAGAAAACATTAACACTCGTGGGATTTTATGACTTGCATTATTTGAATCCACTCAATGTTTTCCAATGGCCATCATCCAAGATCTTTTAAATTGTTAAATCTACAGATAAATTTCAAGTCTCGGAGGTCTGTGAATGGAGAATTACAATTACCCTGGCTTGATGGGGTGGGGGTGGGGGGTTATTCATTGATGTCTCTCTTCCCTGCTCTCGTAGGTACCGTCATTGAATAGCGCCCTCAAATGTCACAGAAATACAGTAGAAACATCAGACCCTGTCCTGAGAGGTCACAGAGGTCCTAAGAGTTCACTAAATGGGAGTCCAAGTTAAAAAAGAACGTTACTTTTGTCTTCTGTTTCAGTACAGGGGAGAGAGCCTCTTTGATGGGACAGAATATACAACTAACTGTATACCAAAGGCAGCCAGAACAGCTGCACTGATATAGCATTAGACACCAGGGAATTCAGAATCTAAAAGTTCAACAGTCATTTTCACCAAAAGGAAAAAAAAAAGACATTATTTCATAAGATCATGGAAGACATTTGATCTCTGACTATAAGAACTCTGTCTTTGTATATCATCCATGTGATCGTCTCTAGCTACCTCACTCTGCCATAACAGACCTTAGTGTGCCACATACAATAATATTTAGGGGCTTTTGACATATTTTGGACTGAGACATATTGGTTTCATTAAAGGGGGTTGGGCTACTATTATTACAGGTAGACTTGACAGCACACAACTTTCTTCTTTTTTTTTCAGTGTTCTGCTGTGGAGGAAACATTGTTAAATGGGGTCCATTTTACCTGCTGGGCAGTTGCACTCTGACGGTGCCTCTCTTGCGATTCTTATTTTAGCCATGTGTTCGTAGGATCTCTGTAGGGAAAGCAGAGGCATTGACACAATCATCAGTAGCACTGAGGAGAACTGGGATCTTTAGGGGCTCTCTGGCCACATGCCCGATTTACCAGCATCCAATAGCTTGCATAAGTAATATTTACATATGTACTTGGACTCCAGTCAAAAAGTAACAGAATCCAAGTCCTAAAATAAGACAATGACCACCGACATGGTAGCTGGGATTGCGGGGTTTGGCCAGCATCTTTCTCCAGTCTTCAATTACCGCCACCCTCTCCTTCAGCCCAGGCATAAGCAATCAGTGCAAACCCCTAGCAGTGAGACGCTGCAGGTCTGAAGGCACTGTGGCCAAGAGTGCGTGCGTGAGTGTCAGCTGCTACACAGACTCTTCATTGGAAGTAAATTCAATAATAATAATTAATAATGTGATTGCTTTCAACTCTCAACTTCAAGGGCTCTGCATTCATCAATACCTGCACATCAAGACATTTTACCAAATGTAAAACTTTTTTTAAGTGTTTGAACATGAAAAGATTCGAAGGGTGGAATTTATGATTTTGAATCTGTATAGTATAGTTTCACTTGAAAATTATTACCTTTTGTATATTAATAGAACCTGTTTTCCTAACCTTTCCCTGAGAAGGAGATATGAGCTCTTATGTCCACAATGAGTATTCTCTGTAAAAATGAGACTACAGAAAACTAAAAAGAAATAAAAGGCTCCCCCTCCCATATTCCCGTTATCCAGGCCACCCTTCCCTCTTTTAGACCTCCCTATATGTTTAGCATGCAAGCACTAGGGAAGAGTAAGGGAAGCTATCAGCCACAGACTTGGTATCAATCAATACCCAAGGTACTTAACACACACTCCGTCCTTGGCACAGACAGTCAAGCCAACTACGCAGACGGTAAGGGTCGAAGCTAGCCCTGCACACAGGATTCACACCTGTATGCAAAACTGTATCCACGTGTAAAATACCCAGCCTTTCACACCTGAGCCAAGAGATGCTCCACTTTCTCCTGAACCATTGCCTTCAGCTCATCCATGGTGTCAGGCAGCGGACGGAAGGAAGGAGTCCCTTTAGCAGATTCAAGAGCGGCAATCCTAGCCTGGAGATCGATGGTTTTCACCCCAAGATACAGACAAAAAGCCACAGCAACCACTGACAGGAGGGTCGCTAGGGCAGCGCACGAGGGCATGGTGCCCGCACAACGTTGTCCTGAGGGGTGCGGATCTTCTGATCCAGGCTCTTGTCCCGCTCCTTTCCCTGCAAGCTTCTTCACCAACATCCTGGCGGGGTCGCCGGCCTCAGCTATGCCTGCCACCCTTTACCTCCTCCAATAATCTTAGAAGGGAAGGAAGGGCCGGTTCCTCTAAACTTCAGTCCCCGCGGCTGCACAACTAGTTGGTTAGAGTGAGAGCCCCGGCTCGGAGATGGACCTGCGCGTGCCTCGGCGTCCGGATCAGCAGGCTTGGACCCTCCTCCTGATTCCTTCTCCCCTTCCAGCTAGGAGTGGAAAGCACCCCCCGGCCGGGAACTGTGTGGCGCCGGGGGTCACAGCTGAAATGAAACCCACCAGGGCAGCTCTTCTTGACCCCCCCCCCCAAGAGCCGACACCTTCTTAGTGGTCCCCCGCGCGGAGGCGCAGGGTCCGCGAGCCTCTCTCCCTGTTCCGACCTGTTGCGTCTGCCTGCCTATCTCTACCTATCCCGGGGTTTTCTACACGCCGACCTGGCGTGTCCCACCTGGAGCAGTCCAAGGCCGAAAAGAAAAAGAAATGCAGAGAGACGGGGGAGAGAGCGAGGCCCCCGAAGGGTGCCAGAGGGGTAGAGAAGAGAGGAGAACCGAGTGGCGCAAGCGGCGGTCGCTAGCCGCGAGGCCCCTGAAGTAGCTCCGCAGCCTCGCCTGTGCGAGCCTTAAATACCCCGGGATGCTCGCGGGTGAGACAGTGCGCGCGCGCCTGGAGCGCGGCCCGCCCACTCCCGCAGGAGCCTCCTTATTAGCATAATATATTCACCTTCGCCCAGCCCGCCTGGACCTACGAGGGGGCGGGAGCGCGGGTGGGAGCGGAGCGGGAGGTCTTCATTAACATAATACATGCAAATAGCTACAGCCGTGATTGGAGAGGAGCTCGGAGACCCTTCCCCTCCCGCCATCGTGTAACTTCAGCGTCCCCTAAGGCCACTTCTCTGGCCTTAGCCTGGGGCCGAGTCGAGGTCTGCTGTGCTGAGTAGCTTATACCGGCTTAGCCCAGCGCCCCCTCTTTATTTGGGTTAAAAAAAAAAATGGAGGAATGGCCTCCTGAGGGGGAGAACGGAAGCAGAACGCTCCAGCTCTCCAGATCCACGCTCAAAGGCAGCGGCAGAAGCTCCTCCATCTAGCCCTGGTGCGGTGTTTTCCCTCCTCCTTCAGTCCTCTCCCACTTGCCCAGAGGCAGAGCGTCTGGCTGACGTCTGCAGGGTACCTTCCCCACTTCCCTTCCTTCCCACGCCTTGCAGCAGATTCTCCAACCGACTGGGGAAGTTTTCTCGCCCCTCCCCCGTTTCCTCTTGTCTCGATGCTGTTTCCCCGCAGCTCTGGGTTCCTACTCTGTACTAGGGTGCTAATGTGTTTTCCTGATTCCCTATTTTGTGAGTGTTTGAGGCACACACATTTCTCGGGGTTTAAGAAGGAGCTGAAGAATGAAGTCAGTTTTTCCTCTTCCTTGACTCGGCTTGCTATTCCCTCTGGATCAAATTACAAAGTCTCTGATGGGAGTGTGTGTGTGTGTGTGTGTGTGTGTGTCTAAATTGATAACAAGTAGCATTTTTGCATCCAGTTGACTTTGGAGAAAAAAAATAATCCTAATTCCTCCTCCGAAAGACCTTCCCTATTGCCTTCCCATCTTAGGAAATGCCACGTTTTTCTTATCCTCCTTAATTTGACCACGCTAACCACAGCTAGTTCCTACTGTAGTCAATGAAGAGAATCCCGCACTGAGCAATTCCTTCTCCTGTGTGCAAAGGGAGCACCAAGGGAGAAGAGGGCTAACGACAGAGGGCACTAGCTGAAAGACTGTCTTCTAGACGCGTCAGGAAGGCTGCACCCGTGAAATCCCAACAGGCGATCGCATAAACAAGACTACAAGTCGGAGTAACACCAGTCAGCACGCCCACCTGGCTATAGTAACTTGCATAAGGCCGCATGCCTAGAAAAAGAGATACCAGCCATCAACGGCTGCTGGAGGAGAGACGATTTTTCTTCATGGACCAGCCCCAAGCTGACATTCCTAAATACATATACATAAGAGAAACACTAACCGAGGCAGGGCGGGTCAGGGGGCACGCAGTGTTGATGCTGGCTAAATACGCTCTCTACCACTGAGCTATACCTCTAGCCCAAAATTTTAATATGTCAAATCTTTCTACATTCCAATTAACCACAAACTTAGTTTGTGTGTTTGGTGCGGGGGTGGTAACGGTGATGATGTTTTGCAAACATTTTCCTTGCCAGCACCCTCTATGTTTTCTTACTCCCTGCGCCCCTGTATTATGCCATCTTTTCTCCTAACTTTATCCCCCCTCCCAGTAGAATTCCTAATAACCATCTTCCAGTTGCTGAGCAATAAACGCACATACCAGACCCAAACCTCCTGAGTCTCAGAATCATACAGCCCACCATTTGACACTTGTGTCTCACTAGCAATTACAACTTAACCTACGTTGTTCTTCCACGCTCGGCTCATTCCCGGTTTTCCTTCTCAGTATGAAGCTACCCTGACTTCTCCTCACCCTCCTCTCCAAGCTCCCCTAAATTCCTTCAGCACATCCTGTCATCCTCAGGTTGTAAATCTTAATGTCTTAGATGTTTCCACCTGACACCTGCCATCCCACCAAACTTTACTGTTCATGCTGTCCCTCACTATACCAGTTTCTAGAAATATGCAAAAAGAATAAAGACCTTTCAGTTCAGTCAAGCACAAAAGCCATTTTCCATTCTGATGCCATCAGAAGGGCACATGGTTCATGTGGATGGTGTTGTGTTCTGGAAGTTGGCCACGAGAGGGTCCTTCAGCGACTCTCGTAAGCTCTTAGAATGATCAGACCTCAGTGGAGAGATAGAGTTGGAATTTTGTGTATTTGAGACCTTTATCCAGAGGATTAGATTTGCTTTATGTCTTTGGTGGGCATGATAGCTCAGAAATGTGCCAGCCATGAGCGCTAAGATTTCTAGACCCAGAAGATTCTCTGCCTCAAGCTCAAAGAATGCATGGATTAACAAGGCTCTGTGGTCTCAACCCACTTTGTTCTATAGAGTCGACAGAGCAGCATTACTTTGATTTCTACATGAAGAAAAAGATTTTTTAAAAAAGTTAAATAGCTCTGAAAATTCTATGGTCCAGCTGACTCCAAATTGCCTATGGTTTGTATTAGTAGTAGTAAATGGCAAACAGCTAGTTGATGAACAGGGCAATGATGGGAAGAATAACACTGTGCATATGTATCACACACATACACATACACACACACACACACACACACACACACACACACACACACCACACGTGTGCATGCCCCAAGCTCCAAAACTTATAAGTGGCAAAACATTTGTAGATGAAATTAAAGCTCTTAAGGAGGGAAATTTTTCTATGTAACCACAAGGGTCTTCATAGAACAGAAGCAAAATTGTGGAGGGAGAGGAGCTGGGTCAGTGGAAACAGGGGTTCTGGGTGCAAATACTGTCTCTGAAGACAGAAGAGGCTCTAGAGCCTTTATTCTAGGAGCAGGAAGGAATCAAGTGGGTTCTTTCCTAGGGTGTCCAGAAGAAAAGCAGCCCTCCCAACCTGGAACTTAGGAATTCTGACCACCGAAACTATCATTACTGTTTGTTTTGTTTTCGCTGTTCTGTTTGTAGTTACATATTGTGATGGCAAAATAACAATAATCAAAATGACAGGAAAACAGTCTTTATCGACACAGACAGCATCCGAAGTCTCCCTGGCACCACCCCGAGGCCTAAAAGGTAAGCAAGCCTGGCAATATTGAATTTCTACATCCCAAAGATTTGTATATTGTCTATACATTGGCGTCTTGCCTAGGAAAGACGGGACAGTATGTCTTTCCTCATATCACGCAAAATCAGGATGCCCTCCACAGAAGCATATTAGACTGGAAACAGCCTGTCGTGCTTTCTTGATGCCTCCTCATGAAATGACTTCAGATCAACCAACCAACTGTGCAGTCACTCTCCTCCTTGCTCCCACTGACAGAGCCAAAGCTCTGGCCCAAGATTATCACTGTTGAAATTACTGCCACTAACCTTTAGGTTATCAAATAGGAGGAACAAGCGAGACTTTTAACAGACAGGAATGGCAGAAAGATAAAGTGAGGAAGGAGGTGACTGGGAACAAACGCAACCAAATGGAAGACAAGGCCTGAGGTATTTTATAATTTAAAAAGGTATGATTCTAATGCCTTAAGAAGCTGGTCCATAATGGATAGACTGTGAGGATGTAAGAAATTCACACATATTTCAAATCTGGGCAGTTCGTGTGCGTTTGAAAGATTGTTGACGGATGAGAATTGCTTGGATAATCACATTATATTGTTTTCAAGTGGGTGTTAATTACGTTAAAAAAAAAGACTTCAGTTTGGGTTAAGACTACCTTTCAATGTCATTAACTTTCGAGACTAACTCTTTAGAACCCTGGCTTCAGCCACCATTCCCAGCAAATTTATCCAACAGAAACACACATGCCCAGGGATTTCTGCCTTTCTTTGTACACCCACACCACCTGTTGTAACCTCTAAGCGTCTTAATAAAGAAAATGATGGAATAAACTGCGCACGCCGTCACGTGCCATTTTATAAACTTCAGAGGAGAGCGTGTGCTCACGCAACCATCTCAGAGGAAGGCAGTTTCAAAAACGAGAATGGAGAAAGCTGGAGAGAATTAAGAGGACGAAGCTTATAAGACACTGTTCCTCTACAGCCAGGCAAATTTCAATAAATCACAAGCAAATTATAAATATCTTTCAGAGCAGACGAGCAGAAAAGAAGTATTTGGCTCCGAGTGACAGCTGAAAAATTCCCTTTCAGACAGATCAAGGAACGGATCCCATTTGCACAAGCCCGGTTAAGCAAGGGGCTTACAGCTGTATGAATTCAATAATCTGGAGGGTGCACACCCTCCCTGCTCCCTGGCTCTGCAAAGCCAGTGTTCAGTTGTCATTCTGTTATATTTGGAAAGAGTAACTGAATTTTCTCCTCAAAGCTTAAATAGCCAAACATGAAGCCTACCAAAGGATTTTCCTCCGAAATTCACCAGTTACATTGCTGATTGAAGCAGGGGGATGTGTTCTGTCAAACTTAAAATCAACCTTTTCATGTGAGGTTATGTAGATGGAAGATGGCCGCATCATTGAATCAGCCTACAGTTAAGGACCCAGATGCCAAGGCCATTACACAGTTTTGCCACTTAATAGTTGGGGGACTTTAAATAAATGACTTAGCTTTTCTGGGCTTCAGTTTTTTCTCTACTTATAAATAAGGATAATACTACTTAACTAACCATTAGGACATTTTGCTAGGAGAAAACAGGACCGTGTGTGAAGGCATAGGTAGGTAGTAAGTGCAATAAATACTTTAGTTGTTCTTGATGCTACTATTATAATTACCTTAAAAGTGCCCATTCACTGGTCATAGACGCTGAAAGACAAGAACAATGCACATTCTTAACCTGAGTTTTCATTCATATACTATGATGTTAGTCCTATTTCAGTTTATATGAACAGAGTAGTC